AATTTGTCGTAATTGACTTTTAACTTACATACAACAGAGCAATACTAATACTATGTAAAAACACTTACAGTAGTTACGATACTAACAATGCATACGTTACTTACAAAACTACCCCTATTTCTATTTATACTTATCAATACTCACGTTTATGACTACTTACAAAAATTTTTCTCTTAAACTAGCTTACAATACAAATTATATGATGCTTACCCTACTTGCATCACGAATTTTAAATCAATAATGAGCTTATTACTCTATATACTAAAAATATAATATTAACATTGCACAAGATGAGGTTATTATAATTTATGAGAGGTAGACTACAGAAAATTGCCATATCAAAGGAAGTGCTTGCCAATATGGTGAACAACTTTCATTTCCTGATGCTTCCAGCGTAAAAAAATGTGAAAAATAGCTCACATGTCAAATTGAGCCGCGAATTAGCTTATTACCCCAAAGGATGAGCGGTCAAATCTGAAAAAACTAAAAGCAGCCACGCTTAATTACGACATATCTTTATATGATATTTGCTGAAGAAAGTAAAGTTTAACTTTCTGTTGTAATATTTCGCCCGAAGGATCTTTGCACTGGTTCATAGAAGTCTCACCTTCCACGGTATGGTTCCTTTTATCTCTTTGGTAGATAACACTGCTTTGGTAGTTAATTATAACATGTGCCGCATTTGCGTGCTTCAGATACCCGGCTTAGACTGACCGTCGTTAATACAAATTGACTTTAATAGATTCTTACGCCCAAACTGTTTCTATTGGATACAGCTTATTACAGACCTCTTCTTTTGAACAGGGACGAAGCTCTGCTAAGTCGCCAACTGAATCGTTTGCGGCAGCAAAATGTTAGAAAAAAAAAACATATCTCCACAAATTAAATCTTCTTCTAGTCCCGTAAACGGTATTTAACTCCTAAAGACATTTAAGAAAACAACGTATGGTCTCGTAATTAGGCTCAGCGTCTCCTCCCTTTTTTGAGCGAGCGTACATTTTTTACTCAAGAAGGCTGTGAAGCATTTTTGGAATCACGACCATAAAATCTTAAATCTGTTAAAATCTAAAACATTCATTCAAAGTTTTGGAATTAACCCCAAATACAAAATGCCAACTATTTTCGGAGCTTAAAACACAGTTGCTGTTATTGGTCCCCAGGCCTGTTAAAGTTTTGAACTGCGAGTTTCCACATGAGTTCTTAGAAAGATTTCTCCAAACATTTCCACAAAACAAAAAGAAACGAGGCTTTATCGATAAACCTCAAATGGCGAACCTAACTTATCTGTGTCGGGAAACTAACGCTACAAAACATCTGAAATTATATTGATTCATTCTTGACGATCAGAACAAACAACACATACCTCCATGAAACAGCTTGCCAATGGTAATTGGCAAGCTGTTTCGTGGAGCTATGTGATCATGCGAGGTATGTGATCACGGTCGCCGATTTTGCCTTTCACGAAAAAGTTGGGTGGGTTGAGCATTCGGACAATTTTGCCCCGAAGAGGAGCAGGGGATTTGTATAAACCGATGTTAAAAAGCTCAAATGCCCAGGGGTTTGTCCGCGGGAGGATATTGAAGCTTCGATTTGATCGACACATAAGAAGGAAACTGGAAACGGGTGAACAATTGAAATTTTTCTGTCTCCATAAACGCCTTGGGGCCGGACTCGATCACGAAGTGAGGCAATATTGTCCAAGGACATCATTACTAATTGTATTATTTCATTTCTGAATAACTTTGCGTATGAAATAATCGTGTTTATTGCTTGTCAAATCCTTCTTTGTCTAAATCTTTTTCAAAACGGATACAACAAATATTTACACTCACTTGAGAAATGAACGGAGGAAAAGGCCAACTACCTTCAGTTTCCTTTGTGGTTTGAAGATGATGCATTTAGACAAGCGATCCAGGAAACTAAAAAGGGAAAAGAAATAGAGAATAATACATGGGCGTTCGTAGATATGGAATTTATCTTCGATTGTTTGACTTCTCACTGACTCATGAGTGAGAAAACAGGATTCTGACGTCAAAGATTCTGTATCGTATTTTTTTGCTTATCAAAAATCATTTCGATTACCCATTCTTTAGTCATCAAGGATAGGTACTTATTTCTGGTGCGTCTCTAACAGTGATTACTGATCCTCGTGCGTATATTTAGAGTAAACGCGCAAGGTCTCATCTTTTCACATCATGAGAAGAAATATGCGAGGTGTTAGATTGTGCAAAGTAAATGAGTGTGTGAGGTAATGATCATTTTCTTTTATAACAGCGGAGCATGAGAGTTAGTTTACATCTTTTACCTCAGAACTTTTGTCGTCCTCTGAGGCTTCATCCTTCACTCTCCACGTCGCGAGGTTGGAGAAAATTCCCATACCAGAGGAAGTGCTTGGCTCAGCATCAGGAAAGTCGTTCACCACATTATCCTGTTTTGCAGGACTGTTCTTCTTCTAAAGAATAACAAAAAAATGT